GGGCTCGGTGCGGGGCTGGGATGCGCTGCGGCCCGTCCTGGGGGTGCAGGTGGGCGTTAGCGCAGCTGCCCCGCCGCGGGGTCCCGGGCCGGCCCCTGGAGCAGCGCGGGGCTTGGGGCGGGCTGAGGGCAGCGCTCCCGGTGCTGCCGGGCCCGGGTGTCCACTGGGCGGGAACCTCTGCCACGGGGCTTGGGGCGGGCTGAGGGGGGGGGTTGTGTAGCTGTAGCACTGTAGCACTGTAAAAGCGTCTTGGAACCAACTGGTGGTCTCCTAGCGTAGGTACAGGGTTCAGGAGCCGACATTTCTATTGTTACTTCTTGTAAGATCCTGTCGTATTGTACAGATTCTCCTTGAAAGACAACTGTGAAAGTTATCTGTGATAATGAGTGGTGAGTTTTAATCCTCACCTTAGATAAAAAGCTGTATATTGATAAATCTGGTCAGAAGGCTCAGAACTCTCATACACAGGTTCTTGAACAATGCATTGCATGAATAATGTTTCCATGTTAGTTTTTTGGGAATACTGTTTTGGTTTTGTTTTTTAAAATAAAGCCTTCCCCTCTGTTACAGTAGCAGTAGGAGCAGTTAGCCTGCAACTAAGCTTTGTCCAGACTCAGAAACTAAATTATTGATAAGATGAAAATTCATTTGAGAGTTCTTTTGGGATGATCTAATATAGTCTGGGATCAAATTGTTCCAGTGAAAGAGCTTGACTGTAATTTTCCATTGTAATTAAGGCTAGAAGAGCCAGGCTATCCTGGACAGATTGGGAGGGGTTTCTTTCTAAACAACAAAATCAAAGCTAAGTCAAAGTTTTACAGGTGGGTTCTCTTGTAACTGTACTATCTCAGACATGCTGCCTCTGTGTAATCTCCACCTCATGAACTGTGTGACAACTGTCAGTGCTTCAGCAGCATGCAGCCAAAAGGCCCCAAGGTTTTAACAACTTGCATTAAGGAAAACTTGCTCCACAAAATCCATGCACCAATCAGTATGATAGGTAAAACAGAGAAAGCCACTGAAGGAGCAAGCAGGTACAGCATCCCTGGAGGCCAGACAGTATTTCACACTGCAGAAGTTCACATAGCTGCCATTCAGTACTTTTTTTTCAACCTTGAAGATATAGTTGAATGTCAAAACTAACCCACTGCAACTGATTGCTGCCATAGGAAGGTTTTTCTTTTTGTTTGTTTGTTGTTGGTTTTTCTCCTCTTATGCTCTGCCCTAACAGCTCCATCACTAGTGTTTTCTACAAGCTGAATCAAGTCAGTCATAAATTTATCTAAAGGAACTGTTCTTCCCTTTCTTCAGTGGGGGATAACTTTCTCTTGTATCAGGTGTTACAGTAGTACATAAGGAGTGTAGTCAATTAGTTCATACAATGGAAAAAGCTGAGTCTACTCCATAGATTGGCATTAAATTACACCAAACTAGTTATAATGTAAAATAGAACACTGGTTTATTTCACAAGTCTGGTGTTGGAGACATCATAGGGGAGTGTTAAGATAGTACCAGCACCTGAATGTGGTGGTGAACTAAGTCAGTGTCCTGTAGTCAGGGTGGCTCATACAAGACCTCTCTAGAGGAACTGCAACTGTTAGCTTGTGTAGTACAGCCTGGATTTTAGTGAAGTGCTTTAGAGACAGACGGATCACATTCTGAGCACAGCTGTCAATTAACACTTGCTGAAATAATGCTTTTAAGGGTGTTTGGTACAATTGTAAGTCCAGTAGTGGACACCGGGCTGCAGATTTTAAGGCTGTAAATGCCTAGATTAAGAAGAACTACAAGCAGGTCAAAGGAGGCTATGTAGCCTTGAGATCAGGAAGAGGAGGAAATGGGAATACTACAGACTGCAGTAGACTGAACAATGGTTGGTGAATTAAACTACTAAAATAAGATGGTGCTGCCAGACTTGTGTTCTGATGAAGAACATAATTTCCTGTGACAAGGAGTGTCAGGGGAGTGTTCTCCACTTCTGCATTGTCACTCCATCTTGATGCTCTGAAAGATGATACTGTCCTGTGAGTGGCAGAAGATCAGAATGTGTATGCTTAAATTTCCCAGTAAGCCATGCAAGCCTTGTGAGTCCAAACCCACCTTCACCTGTAGTCTTAGTGAGCTGGGGTAACCGAGGGCCATGAAACTGTTTCATCTCCCATAATTGCATTTATCAAGTGTGATAGTGCCCAAACAGATAAGGAAGAAACCTGTGCTTCAGAGTTCAAAAGTGAAATCAAACCAATTTCTGGCAGTTTTATAAAGCTGCATTTTTCCTCAAGGATTACTCTTCACAATCTAAATCTGCCTAAACAACAAAGTATTTTACTTGTTGGGTTTTTTTCCCACTTGTTTAATAGTTTTTCCTTGATGTTCTGCAGTCATGTTTAAAGTTGGCTCATGAGCATAAATGTATGGCTGAAGAATTGGTGTGTTACCTTGTTTAGATCTGGCTGCAGTGAAATGCAACACTATACAAATATGAGTCTGTAGAAAGTACTATTCAATACTTAGTGCCTTTGCTCTAAATTCTCTTTAACACAGCTGCTGAAAATGGCTGAAAACGGAGATGGCGAAAACATGTCTATTTTGGAAAGCAAAATCTGTCAGCAAATTGAGGTAAGTTTAATTTATAGTTTGGAATCTCTATTGAGATGCAGTTTTGGAGACATTTGTTGGTAGGGAGTTGGTAGGGAATTTAACTTTATAGGGAGTTAGGCTTGAATCTTCAGCTCTTTAAAAAGATCTGTCACAGGTAATAATAATTTTTACATTGTACAGTATTTTATTGAACGAGACCTGGAAACTCGAGCCTGTGTGCCTGATTTCTCAGTATGGCAGATATTCTTGGTTATACATTCCTTAAGGAAGGACTAAAGCCTGAATCTGTTTGTGACAAATTGAACTTTTTGACTCTGCAGAGTTTGATCAGGTTGATAATTATGTGACCAGAAGAAGCTTCATGCCTTTGCTAAAAAAACTTGCAGTCTGTCTTTGTCTCATTAGTCCCGTTGGATGAAGCACTGTGTTTTTTTACAGTTTATGTGTTGCAGCTAACTTTGGGAAAAGTATAATGTTAAAGCAATGATTTAGTAATAAGACGATCATTTCAGATTTATGATTTGTTCATATTTATGAATTTTGCTATGTCTCAATCCACTGCAGTAAGTTGTCAACTGAAAATGAGCTTTTAAAGACTGAGATCTCAAGCCCCCTTCTCCCTTCTTTTTTACAGTACTATTTTGGCAATCACAATCTACCAAGAGACAAGTTCTTGAAGGAACAGATCAAACAAGATGATGGTTGGGTGCCTTTAGAAGTAATGATCAAATTCAACAGGTAAAACCAAGCACAACTAATCTGGGTGGAAGGGTAGCTTCCAGCTACTTATCTCTGTTTGGGGCCAAATATCCCTGGTCTGCATGTACAACTCATATTGCTGTTTTAACATTTGGCTTCAGCTTTGCCTATGTATTTGTAGTAACCTCTTGTCTGCTTACTCACTAGGTTAAGTCGCCTTTCAAAAGATTTTAGTGTTATTGTAGAAGCACTAAGGAAATCCAAGACTGGTCTAATGGAAATAAATGAAGACAAAACTAAAATCAGAAGATCTCCAAACAAACCTCTTCCTGAATTAAATGACCAGTACAAGGCTGCAATTAAAAACAGATCTGTATATGTTGTAAGTAAACTTGATGCTTTGCTCTGTGTTGTTCTGCATGACACTAACTGAAAACTAAGTTGAGCTTGAATTAACTCATTCTAACTAGGTTATAATTTCTAAGTGTCAGTTTGTTGCATATAATTGAAGCTTGTTGCTCTCTTGCAGAAAGGCTTTCCACTAGATGCAACTCTTGATGATATCAAAGAATGGCTTGAGGATAAAGGTCCAGTTGAAAACATTCAAATGAGGAGAACATTGCAGAGAACATTTAAGGTAACTCTTGCAATGAACAGTTAGACCTAGGGCAGGGATTTACCCTGGACAATATTCTGTTCCTTCACTCTAACACTGAATGTCTTTTACCATTTAACAGGGCTCAATATTTGCAGTTTTTGATAGTGTTGAATCTGCTAAGAAGTTTACAGAGATCCCAAACCAAAAGTACAAAGACACAGACCTGATAGTACTTTTCAAGTAAGTCCACTTTACTGATGTATGAACTAATAATGGTCAGGAGTGGATTTAGACAAGAACCTGATGACCTGAGAAATGTACATTTCTATCCTGTTGTAAAGGTATTGACAGCTGCACCTCTTGGAGGCTAGTATATCAGCTCTGAAAGATAACCTCAACTGTTCTTGGCTACTGCTGTCTTACAAAGTCATTATACTGAAGTACTTTAAGTGGTATTAACTTCTCTTATATTCTATTGAAGGGAGGAATATTGTACAAAGAAGAATGAAGAAAGGAGACAAAATAAAGTAGAAGCTAAAGCGAGAGCTAAACAGTAAGTCATTAATTATCACTTGAAATGCCTGTTTTTGCTCACCTGACCACACCTTAACCCACTATTAACTAATATAACTTTTCTACAGGGAAAAAGAAGAAAAACAGAAACAAGCAGCAGATGCTGAAATGGTATGGGTTTCTTAAATCTCTATACATGAAAACTCTGCAATGCTTGCTTTTGTATGGGTTTTCAGTCCACACATCATAAAAATGCTCCTGCAGCTACATTTGTAAAGCTAATGTGGGATATTCAGAGGTTGAAATTCTGTAATATAGAGCACTTCATAGAACATCAATTCAGCTTTTCCAACTAACCTAGAGAAAGATTTATTTTTTTTTCATGGTATTTGATGTTACTTTCAAGAGACTAATTTTGTTTAAAGGACCATTTACTGAATTTAAATTGTTAGGCATGTTTACCTGTTCAGAAGTGATCCTAAGTGCACCACTGAGATTATTGTTCTTCTGTGGTATTTAAAGGATCCAGTAATGATTTAATCAGTATTTTATTTAGATTTTTAACCTTAAGTGTCAGCTTTCAGAAGAATTTTTTTGTAAAATTTTGAGTAACACCCTTAAGGGAAAGGATTCCTAAGCTCCACATAAATTATCATAGTAAGCACATAAAATTAAAAAAAAAAAAGAGGGACATACCACATGCAAAATATGTCTATCAGCATAAATAAGCTACACAGGAAGAATGCTTGGGTTACTGACGGTGCTAAGCAAGGTGACTTCAAATGCTTGTTTAACACTAGCATGTTTTAAAAGAATTGAACAAAAATGTGGATTTTTTATTTTATTTTATTTTTAATTTAGAAGTCTCTGGAAGAAAAGACAGGATGTCTTTTGAAGTTTTCTGGTGATCTAGATGATCAAACATGCAGAGAAGATCTCCATGAAGTATTTTCTGATCATGGAGAAATCAAATGGATACACTTTGTCAGAGGTGCAAAGGAGGTTAGTAGAATCTTGGACAAGGAATTAAGATCTCTGTATTAAAGTTTGAAACAGAAAGATTAAATACTTCTCATATTTAATCAAATAAGAAACTTTATTTGGCTTGTGGAATTGCAGAATATCTGGAGAATTTAATTATTCCCTTATTTTTTTTCAGAAGAGCATATAAAGGTTCCAGTCTTCTCAGGTACTAAGTTCAAAACTGAGACTGAGACTGTTTGTTAGGACAGTCTAAGAGTTTTGCATCAGTCCAGGCATATTTTACATAACGTAAGAGTAACTCACCAAGATACCTCACATGATAGGTTGTTCATCATTCTAGTGTTATTTCAGTAAGATTTAAATGCAAATGCTGTTCTTCTTTTTAAGGGAATTATCCTATTTAAGGATATCGCAAAAGAAGCTCTGGAAAAAGCCAAAGCAGAACATAATGGCAACTTACAGCTTCGGAACAAGGATGTTACATGGGAAGTGCTAGAAGGAGATGCAGAAAAAGAAGCTCTGAAAAAAATATTGGAAGA